TGATGATGATTATGATGGAGATGATGACAAGCACTTTTCTGGATACTAGTTACGAAGATGATAAATTACATCCCTCACAAGTGTTCATTTTTTCTATACCTTGACAGGTAATGCATGCTCGTTCAGGTGGTAACCTAGAGGTCATGGGTTTGATGCTTGGTAAGGTAGATGGGAACACAATGATRGTGATGGATGCCTTCGCTCTACCTGTGGAGGGAACAGAAACAAGGGTTAATGCACAGGCTGCAGCATATGAATACATGGCAGCATATATTGAGTCAGCAAAATTGGTAAGTTATTAAGAAATATATCATATATTCAATCTTATCCATCATCGCCAATTAAAAATTGATGCACTTTGACAGCCAATCACAATACAGGGAAGGCATTGTACATTTRGGGGGTATGCCACTGTTTCTTCCCATCAGGCACTGCAGTCTTCTTTAAAATTTATGAACCAAGTGTTTGGGTTTTGTATTTATCTAATATATAATCTATTACTGTGAGGACGCTTGGAATTGGAAATAAAATGTAAATTGATCACATGGTGTGTTTGACGTTAGTGCTTCATTTTAGAGGGTTGAAACAGATTGAGTGTCCTCGCTGTAAATAATAGCATATAACTCTTTTTTTAGGTTGGTCGGTTGGAGAATGCTGTTGGCTGGTACCATAGTCATCCAGGATATGGTTGTTGGCTGTCTGGTATTGATGTTGGTACGCAGATGGTCAACCAACAGTTCCAGGAACCTTTTGTTGCTATTGTCGTAAGTAAATCATTCAGCAATATGTTTGCAAAAGAAATTTATGTTCCTCATAAACAAACAACAACAAATGGATGTGCAGGATAGGAAGCCTATAGCGATTTGGGATGTACAGTTGCCAGTCTGCTGTGAATCTTTTGGCATTTCTAGTTGGTTAAGGGTGTAAGGTTTTCTCTTTTGTTAATGTAATTTACCAAGAAATAATTCTACTTAGGAAGATCTAACTAAGTTCTAATATCAGAACTAAGATCTTGTTCAGGATCCTATTCAGGATTTTAGCGAGGATTCTATCCCTGGGATATGTAGAAATCTATTCAGGATCATATTCCTAAAAGTTGCTCATAAATAGGATCCATCCTACATCTTATTTTCCTAAACAAAATCTTATTGGATTCAGTTAATCTTTTTTTAATTAACAGATTGATCCAACAAGGACTATTTCTGCAGGAAAAGTTAATCTTGGTGCATTTAGAACTTACCCTAAGGTAAATTATGGAAAAATGCATGCAGTTAATAATATGTAAAGTAAATAAATTGAGGTAAACATTTATTTTATTTGCATTTGCATTCCTTGCATCTATCAGGGCTATAAACCACCAGACGAAGGTCCATCAGAATACCAAACCATACCTCTGAACAAGATTGAAGACTTTGGAGTTCATTGTAAACAGTAAGGGGACACCAAATTGTCTCATACACACCTTATACATCACTCTATATTTAATTAGATACTTTATATTCATTTCATGACCCGAAATGTTTTCTTTTGTTTTATTTCTGGTTTTTTTTGTAAGGTATTATTCTTTAGAAGTTTCATATTTTAAGTCATCCCTGGACAAGAAACTCTTGGACCTGTTGTGGAACAAGTACTGGGTCAACACTCTTTCCTCGTCAAGTTTACTAACAGTAGGTGTTTGGGTCACTCTATTCTTGGGGTTCATGTAACAACATTAAGTCATCATTGCCACCATGTTGGCT